TTTCACCAGTTTTCAAAATTGTTATATGAGACTTTCGGATGAGCCCTAATAACTAGCAGGTAAGGCAAACCTTTTGCCGAATTATGCAATTTTTTGTAGCCCTACGGCTTACCTTTCAGAATTTTTACGATTTATTTTTTGAAGTAACCAAATTTTACATTTAGCCTATTTTGACCTCGTAGAACATAAAATGATGAACACTTCAGTCACCATTCGATTCAACTTTTTCTCCTCCTCCTAACAGTTGTCTTTTTTTGCCGAGACAGGCGAAATTTGTGGGGAGAATCGCAGTAGTTCTCAATTTCAGGAATGCGCACTGCCGTAACCTATGTTTCAAAATCTTCTTAATTTGGAGCGAATATCGCTCATGTACTTTGTAATGGTAGCGGTAGTAATAATCGAGTGTTGAACCTTAGTATTCTGTAGGTTTTGCAGTGTTTTGGTGCAATAACAGGTTATGCCATTTTTCCAACAGGACTTTTAAAAAATTATTTAGCAAAAATCTGAAAAAGCAGCTGAGAAAAAAAATTGCATAAGTTGGCAAAAGTTTGCCCTATCTGGTGGTTATTAAGGCTCCTCCGAAATCCTCATACGAAAATTTTGAAAATTAGTGAAAGTTGGACATGGTAAAAACGAGTGATTGTAATTTCCGGCAAATATCTCGTCAACCTCGTAACAAAACGCAACGACAGTTTAGCAGCTGGAAAGAGGAAGAAATTCTGCACCGGATACATTTTGAAGTATTTATTCATCTTCATTCTAGCGTGTTTGCCAAAGGAATGAAAAAACTGACAAAACTTTTGCACCGACCTAATATATAAGATAAGGACTTAAAGGCAGTGGCTCGGCAAATCTCAACCTAGTCAAATTTGCGCTTAACTGAGGTTTTTCAATACTCTGATCCCAAAAATCCACTTTTGAAAGCTTGAAAACGGCGAAAATGAGCGTTTTTAATGCCCTTACCTTTGATATTGGGCGAGTGGAGCAAGACCGATGACGCCAAATCGTGGAGGAGCCAATGGTTATAGCGTTGCGACGGGCAGCCCCAATGGTGAGAAGGAAATTGCTAAGTCGTCCAGATGCGTGTAAGATTGGCTTGCGCGTGTACGTTCGAGAGCGATTTTCTCGGCAAGGAAAGCATGCTGTGCAACCGGGATTACACTGTTTTCATAGTTGGGCGATAAGGAACCTACCGCGCTAAATTCCGAGTTGTTGGATTTTGCCGATCCACTGCCTTTAAGAGGCTGTTAAACGTTAATCAGCGTGCAAACAAAATAGAGAAGATATATTGAAAAATATACAAATTTGTGAGACTTTTATCAATTTAATCTGTACGAGTTTATGCAGTTTTATTAGCTACAGCACCAAATCGTTTCCTTACTCAAACAAAAGAAAATCAAATGGTGCACAGCTATTAAAAAGCAAAAAAAAACACACGAAAGTTTGATGAGAACTGCATAAATTGCAAGAAATTATAAAATTAAGGGCATGCAGAAAATCATCAAGAGTAAACCGGCTGCAAAACGAACATTGGAGCTAGAAAACGCTCAATAGTAGTAATTTGGCTGAAGAGGACCTGAGGATGCAGCTAATCAGAGTTGATTTACCTTGTCTATGTTTTAAGCGAATATCTGATGAAAATGCAGAGGAAAAGATTAGCTGTGCGCCTCGCGACTGTGCGCTATCAGCTGTTCATATTGATTGTATGTGATGTGCGTTTTGATTTTCTGCGTGCATTTACGGACAGCGGGCGGCACCACCACCCCGGACATACTCACTGCTGGTTATTTGTCGGCACCACCACCCCGGACATACTCAACTGCTAGTTATTTGTCGGAATCACCACCTCTTTGCATCTTCACTAATGACCCACTCGTCACGACTCGAGGGGAGTTTACTAAAGGCCTGGGAATATGCGCATAATCCTAGACACGAACTCAGGCAACGGATAGGACCCCTCCGCCGGAGAAATGGCAGGGTCGCGGCGTTTCCCCAGAGGTGGGTCTCCCACTCGTCCGGCGGAGCCCTCCCATTTCTGCTCCGGAGACCTCCCATTTCTGCTCCGGATACCTCCCATTTTCTGCTCCGGATATCTCCCATTTTCTGCTCCGGATACCTCCCATTTTCTGCTCCGGCGCCCCCCGATTTTGTGCTCCGCAAGTCTGCCGCGGCATACTGTAATTAGCCCTAATTAAGCTCCAAACCCCAATTTTGTCTAAACCCCACCCAAATCAGCCGAATACGACCCCCCCCCCACGGGTAAGAGTTCAGCGCGACCCTCAACCCCATTCTTTACCCCCTCCCTCTCACCCCTAGCGTTTGTGGATAGAAGATAGAAGAAAGAACGAAGAGATAAGACATTTATTTCAAATTTGCAAATAAATGCACTACCACAAACCATTTCTTTCCATGTAAGATACTTTATCTACTACTAGCTGGCTTACCCGGCTCCGCCGTATCCGGACCAAACTTGGCACACATTCACTTCGGGCCCCGGCGGGTGTCACAGTCCACTTTTCGTTATCAATCGATGTCGATTTTACCGATTTTTATCGATTTTTTTGCAGAGTTCACCTACAGGGCTAGGAGTTGGCACAGGGGGGGAAGTGAGCATGGGGATTCCGAATACAATATTAGTTTTCAGAATTATCGATTACTTTTATTGATTTTATCGATTTTTTGTAAATTTTGACATGCGAGGCTGGGATTTTGCACAGGGGGGGGGGGTAATCGAGCATGCTGATTACGAACACAATATTGGTTTTCAGGATTATCGATTACTTTTATCGATTTTATCGATTTTTTTTGTAAAGTTTGACCTGCGGGGCTGGGAGTTTGCACAGGGGGGGGGGTAATCGAGCATGCAGATTACGAATACAATATTAGTTTTCAAGATCGTCCATTACTTTTATCGATTTTATCGATTTTTTGAAAATTTGAGCTAGGGGGCTGGGATTTGGCACAGGGGTGTAATCGAGCATGCTGATCACCCCCTTGGGGATGATCAGCATGCTCGATTACACCCCTGCGCCAACTCCCAGCCCCCTAGCTCAAACTTTGCAAAAAAATCGATAAAATCGATAAAAGTAATCGATAATCCCGAAAACCAATATTGTATTCGGAATCCCCATGCTCAATTACCCCCCTGTGCGAACTCCCAGCCCCGTAGCTCAAACTTTGCAAAAATAATCGATAAAATCGATAAAGGTAATCGATAATCCTGAAAACCAATATTGTATTCGGAATCCCCATGCTCGATTACCCCCCTGTGCCAACTCCCAGCCCCGTAGGTGAACTCAGCAAAAAAATCGATAAAAATCGATAATATCGATATCGATCGATGACGAAAAGTAGCCTATGACAAGAAATGGAATTTTCTATTCGGAACATACGTACATACATACATACATACAGACAGACATACATACATACAAACAGACATTCAGCTTTATATATAAGATGACAGTGGCGTTCTCCTCAAGTTTTGACATTGCCTCTTCGAGCTAGCCCGCTCCACAGAAAATCAGTTCTGATAGAGGACAAGTTCCGAGTACTCGAAGTCGTAGGAAGAAGGCTACAATGAGGAACAGAGAGGCTAGAGTGAAATCGCGTACAATGTGGTAAAAAATACTATCCCACAAATAGAACAACACAGCAGATTAATTTAACAGCTGACTGAAGATGCTCTACCTTCTTGGTATATCTCAGGTTGTTATCAGCCGTATACCGACTCAAGCACAAGTATTGATGTTCTCATATAGGGGCCTGCAGGATCGCGAGAGTCGGACGCGCGTACGGCCTTTGCGCCGCGCACGCCTGATATCGCTGGGTCGTAGTCGATTAAGGCTAGATAGGTAAGTTTTTTTGTTTTTCTTTACATTTCACGCCTTCTTTTCTTTTCAGACGGTGAGCACATGTTGGTGCGGAGGAGTATAAGATCTGAATTAAGGTGAGGTGCAGGATTATGCTCAATACGGACTCAATATCGCAGACCTTCCATGCCTGCTGGTTGAGATGTTGGATTTTCTGTCCTGGCTGCCCTGTTACAGCAAACTGTTCTATTTCTACCGTCTATTCTACCTTATCTTGCATATTGCTTGTGATGATGATGATGACAATGATTATGATTGTGATGACGCGCATGATGCAAGATGAGGTAGAACAGACGTTGCAAATAAAACGGAGTTTCGTAACCGGGCAGGCAGGACGAAAAATCGAACATAATCGGACAGCCAGAACAGAAAACTCAACATTCTTCAAAGCAGGGGTGAAAAGTCCACAATATTGGCCCGTATTGAGCATAATCCTGCACCTCACCTTAATCTAGATCTTAAACTCCTCTGCACCAACATATGTTCGCCGCCTGAAAAGAAAAGAAGGCGAGAAATGAGAAGAAAAACAAAAAAATCTCACCTATCCAGCCTAAATCGAGTACGACCCAGTGACATACGACGTGCGCGGCGCGATGGCCGTACGCACGTCCGACTTTCGCGATCCTGCAGGCCCCTATACACAGATTGAGAAGACTTTTAGAAGTCAGTTGAAGATACATGGCAGTAATTTGTTAATAGAAATCAGCATGACTTTAGCGCTTACCTCTTCGCACTACTATCTTGGAAGCAAATAAAAATGATTGAAAAAATTCAACATTGTCACAATTAAAAAGACAAAAACAAGGCAAGAACTTTTGAGATTTGAGCAGAGAATCATGAACAACAGCAAAAGTGGCACTATCTTACCTCATTGTTTTGAATGAATTCCACTAGTATATTGAGTGCCTTCTCGTAATCTTTCAAGACATGATATGCTGTGACGTAAGCAACCAAGACACTTTCTGCGTTGGCCGAAGTCGCAGCAAATGATGACGAGATTCCTAAGTGATTACAATGAAAGTCTCCTGGACTGAGCAAGAAGAACCAACTTTGCGCCCTTCACAGCCCCTCATTTGTATCTGGAGTAATGGAGATCTCTCAAAATCTGCATGTTGTCTTTGTCAAGAATTAAAGCTCGCTTGTATGCCTAAACCGGACAGATATCCATAAAATCAATAAAACAGAAAAATGGGATTAACTTGATTGCCTCGTCGTAGTTTTTCTGACCTTTGAACAAGCCCGTATACATGCCAGCAAACATAAGATTTCAAATCAGCCTAAATACAGGAATGATGAGTGAAACACTATACAAGGAACTAAAAAGGACTCCTAACCTTCAAACCTCTTTTCACACATTCCTGTGCTTCTTGTTGCTTACCCATGTTAAGAATGAGCCCCTTTATTGCTAAGGTTTCTGTAATGCGTATCATGCGAGCATAAAATCAAAGTCAAAAAAAGGATCCACCTCCATGTTCAGCGAAATTCGGATTACTCAAAATTGTCCTCGCATACTTTAGTCCAAAGCGATATTTCTTTTGTTCGTATGATTTCTGCAATCAGAAGCAAAAGACTCGGATGGAAAAAAAATTTAGTGTGGCTATTACTTAGAAATAGCTCATAAAATACTCACTATCATTTTTTGAACAGGCCCAACTCCTTTGATGGCAAAGGCTGACTACTTCACTGACCCGGGGGAGTCATCCCTAAAACCGAAACAAATGCTCGATAATGACATGTAAGTGAAATCGCTATACGCGGTAGAAAAGCACAGACACTTTTGAATAAAATAAAAATCTAGCACGAAAATAGATATTAGGTAAAAGTACACATCAAGATTTTGAGAAGAAAGAGTCTAAACGCAACCTTCATTGCGAGAAATGCACGAAAATATGACGAATAGTTCGCCGAATAGTTCGAATAGTTAGCCTTTAAGAACGTCTCAAAATCTCACAGCGTCTCAGACAGCGGATAGGACCCCTCCGCCGGAGAAATGGCAGGGTCGCGCCGTTTACCCAGCGGTGGGTCTCCCATTTGTCCGGCGGAGCCCTCCCATTTCTGCTCCGGATACCTCCCATTTTCTGCTCCGGAGACCTCCCATTTTCTGCTCCGGATACCTCCCATTTTCTGCTCCGGAGCCCCCCGATTTTGTGCGCCGGAGCCCCCCGATTTTGTGCTCCGCAAGTCTGCCGCGGCATACTGTAATTAGCCCTAATTAAAGGCAGCTTCCAGGCAGATCTGGACCTATGGGGCTTTTACATGGAAAGTACTTTTGGGGCCCTAACTAAGGCACTGCCGAAGCAGCAGCTCAGGTAGTGCTCTAATGGCGGAGATATTCCCCTCGAAACAGACCCCCGCAAACGTATTCGCATGGATTCATGGCAGTTTCGCGCCAGGATCCACGCTTTGCGCCATGGATCCATGCGAAACACGGTCGCGGGGTCCAGTTTCGAGCAGAATATCTCAGGCGTTACAGCACCACCTGAGCTGCCGGTTGGGTAGTGGCTTAGTTAGGGCCCCAAAAGTACTTTCCATGTAAAATCCCCATAGGTCCAGACTTGCCTGGACGCTGCCTTTAAGCTCCAAACCCCAATTTTGTCTCTAAACCCCACCCAAATTAGCCGAATAGGACCCTCCCCCCCCCCGGGTAGGAGTTCAGCGCGACCCTCACCCCTACTCTACCCCCTCCCTCTCACCCCTAGCGTTTGTGGATAGAAGATAGAAGAAAGAACGAAGAGATAAGACATTTATTTCAAATTTTTCAAACTTCTTAGAAAAATCATCTTATATCGTAAATCATTTCACACCCACTGGTGTAAAAGAATGAACCTTTCCAACCAAACAACGGTTTGTGGAACAGTTTAAATTGCAGTCGCAGTTGGCCCATATTATCTATTTGCTTGCATATGTGAAGAACGAATTGTTCTCCGCTGATGTCATCGGGAACAGCGCCAAGATTGAATATGTTATTTTGATGGGCCAGTGCTAGAGATGCTCGTCGTAAATCGCGCTCCTCATCTGCTCCCTATAAAACAAAAGAATAACGTAAGCTCTGAGACTTAAGAAAATGATTTTAATTTGGTCATTAATGCTTCTACAAGATGGACAACGCAGAATCCTTGTGAGATGGCATTAAACATGAAACTTACCACGTATACTCCCACCAACCTCCATAGAACCTTCAAAATCGCTTCCTTGTTTGCTCCCGTAATTGCTTCTGCCTTGACCGCTGAAAGCACACGATTGGAAGCTTGTTTACAGAATCGCAAGACAGAACCTACCTCCTAGGTCTACTCCTCTATCGCAAGCAGTTTGCAAGCACACTTTTACATTGCCAATTTTTCTCAAACGGTCTCCCCCTGGATTGCGTAGGCGAGAGATGAGGCTGCCAGGCGGACATCCAGTCACCAACTTAATGATTTTACTGCAATTAATAATCATTTGCAGAAAACATGTGCAAAAAGTCTACCAGGGACCCACCCCAAAATCACTCCGTCGGTGAGATCCGAAAAATCCTTGACCGTGTAATTATAATCATCAGCAAAACCCTGAATGAGAAGGAAAAATAATAGGTTCATTCCTCTTAAGTGCTTACCTGCTTGTAAGTTGGCCTGAAGCCCATCTTCGCAAATGCTTTGTTAAGTGGTGTTCCACTTCCAGACAAAACTTCTCGGCTCAACTCGGCGAAAACATCATCCATACACTGAAGTCAAATTCACCAATATCAAATCTAGAGTTATTGACTTACCTTGAACGACGAAGATTTTGTGAACATACTCGGATTGTGGTTGATGATCGAATTTGCTTTTGCTGTTTCCACAAAATAACAAAATAAGCAGGTGTGAAGCAAGAAGTGCGAGTGCGAATTCTCAACTATAATGCAATAATTTTCACTCAGATAAATGAATTGTAGAGAGCATAGAAGCATTTTTGAACGGATTGGATTAGCGCCATTTGGAAAATTTTAGACCATCAATTTTGCTATTTGAACTTGGTGATGCATGTAAAAGAGGATGATTGCTCTGCGAAAAGACATCTGCAAGGTTAGAAAGATGCAAATGCAAAGAAATACGACAGCGAAGAGAGGAAAGGCGCTCAAAACAAGTCATTAAAACGATAGTACTCCTATTCCCATCTCCTTTTATCCGAAAAGTTAGACCCACAGCTGAATTCGCAACTAAAAAACTGACAATGCCTATGACTACTTTGATTTTTGAGTCGAACAGTGTGTAAAAGAGTAGATGAATAGAACTGGGAAACATTATAACCAATAGCATTTTGATTACATAAGCAGAATGGTACAGAAACAGTAAATCACAAGTAAATATCACCCACCAATGTTGCCTGCACCTCCTTGGTCGACAGAGAAAGTTGCATCACTTGGACGTATGGAAGATATATCGGAAAACCTCGGTTCAGGAACATTGTAAGGTAACTTTGGAGGATGCTTAACCTTCTAAAGAAAATTTTAAGCTAGAAAATGTGTGAAGTTATACAAAAAGATCTTACTTGTGCGCTAGAGAGCTGCGACGAATCCAGTTTCGTGCTTCCTTCCATAAAAGAACGCTCCGTCCTTGCAGGGTCAATCTTTGGTGTTGAGAAAGGACCTTCTTTTTGCCATGTACCTGTAATATCGTGACCAAGTTTTCAAGTATTGAAAAAAACTTAAACGACAAAATTCTTCAGGGTTCGATCAACCATCATCGCTGTTATCGCTGCTACTGATGTTAGACGATGGAATGATCAACATTACATTACATTATTATTCTTATTTCTCCAAATGAGTACTCAGCGACTGGTGAGGACAGCGTATAACAGTAGGAACAGCGTTAGGCCCGGGCAGAGTTCACGCGATTTCATCGTCGCGACTAATCCCGACAAAACAACTAACATATGCATGCCGATCTTGCATTTCGGTTGTGATAGTTTTCCAACACGACTAATCGTGAACAACTATCACAACCGAAAATACGAGAAGATCGGCATGCAATGAACGGCAAAGTGATTCATCGGTGGAGATAGCAATAAACGGATTATTTAGACGATACTTTTATCACAACAACACTAGATAGTCTAGATAGCGCGCATTCAAGAACGTCTCAAAATCTCACAGCGTGGCTACGCGCCAAATCGATACGCAGCCTGCTCCGGGGCCCTTCCATTTCTGCTCCGGATACCTCCCATTTTCTGCTCCGGATACCTCCCATTTTCTGCTCCGGATACCTCCCATTTTCTGCTCCGGATACCTCCCATTTTCTGCTCCGGACCCCTCCGATTTTCTCCGGCGCGGCTCTTCCAAATCTGGCGGACTCGCGCCGGGCAAATTTCTCCGGCGCGAGTCCGCCAAATCTGGCAGAGTCGCGCCGGAGAAATGGCGTACCTTTGCAGCAGGGCCGGAGAAGCGTCCCATTTGCCTGCCAGTGATGTCACCGCGACGGACCGCCCATTTGCCCCGCTCTCATTGGTCAACTGGGTCCGGCGCGACTCTGGCAGATTCGGACTGTCCGGCGGAGGGGTCCGTCGATTGTCTGAGAAAGGGTGAGTTTGAACAAAGCATGTCCAGCATACAGTGAGATATGTTCGCTTAGGCCGCAATGCGCGAGAGAGAGAAATTTTTCCGGAGGCATTCATTGAACAATGCGCATTGCACCTTGCCCAAGCGTGGAATCGCAGATCCGCAGATTGGAACTTCGACGCTTCTTCAGGAGACCACAAAAGATAAGTGTTATTAGTCTCTTGTTTGATGTATTTTTGATTTGGCTAAAATTATGCATTGCCCTCCATCACCTTTGACGAATGGGGCGGAACCAAATTTCACCTGAGTATACACAGTTATTGTCTTGTAGGCGACACACTAGAACATCACTGAGCCTTCTAGGTCTTGAAAATTGAGTTTTGGTAGAAAGGCGTCTATGAAGTTGATGCTTATCCGTTTTTAGCGATTACGAGAAGTTTATAGGTATCATTCATCGAGAAGGCTTAGCGGCTATCATTTAAGATGAGCAGGAAATTGAAAACTTCTCAAACCAGCTATATGTTGAAGCGAACTGACTTGAAACGATTCTAAAAGCAGAAAGTGCAGTGTTCACTTCTCTTCATGAGAGGACGTGTCGCAGGGTTGCAAACTCAAACTATTTAAGCGGACTTTTTCTAAAATTCTTTAATTATCAACCCAAGAATCCAACTACAAACATTTTTAATTGAATGGAAATGACTTTTAGTCAGCTGATCATTAGGCTCAACACCATTCTGGTCAAGCGCTTTGAGCAAAATTTGAAACTTTACACATTGCTACTATAAATTTATTCATATTCACAAACGCTTGTAACTTCTTCCAGAGAGTTGCACAAAAGACGGAAGATAGAGCTGGGATAAGCGCTTGCTGACACTTGCCGATTTTCCTGACATATATACAGGATGTCCTGAAAGTTTGAAGGCACTGTTTGATAGTTAAGATCTTTTTTCCCACGTAGTTCTTTTGCCAAAGATGGTAAAGATGGTTCAATCATGGAGATGTCAAGATGTAAAGATGGTTCAATTAGACTTGCACTATTAAGTGAATCGTCTATCTCTTTTCATTACTTACGCGCATGGATTTACATAGGAACCTTGAAGAAAGTTTGAGATATTGAGAGCTTTGTTTTCCATCAGAAAGCAAACTAAACAACTTGGGAAACTCTTGTATTAGGTAAATTAAAGACGCTGACTTCAAATATAACTTCAGTTCATCCACTGCTTAATTTATAAGTTCTATGCGAAGCATACGTAACAGTCCCTTTCTACTTTTCGTAAAGATGTGGAACTTTAGAAAGCTAGCTTTAAAATTTGTAAGAAATTAGGCAGTGAAAGTAGCGTGCTCAAATTCCTTTGAGAGTTTTTCAGATTTTTTGAAAATAATGAGCGCCAGCTAATTTACGATAGCTCTATGTGCTATTGTGTTTTAGTATCTCGAAGTTGTTCCTTCCTTAATCCTAAGTAATGAAGAGCGACCGGTGAATCGCTGTATACTGAAAATCTGGGGAACGGAACTTAATACATATACGGATAGGTTGGTGCAAAAATAATGAGCGTTTTTATTTGCTTGCTTTAACAAAGCAACCAGTCTCAACCCAACAAAGGGTAAGGGGTACTGTTCGATAGAGCAAAGCAAGCTCTACAAGATGGCACTCATGTCTTTGCGCCATGCTCGATCCAAGGAGAGTTCGAACTCAAAATCTAAAGATTTCCAAATGCCCAAAAAATCGAAAAAAAATCAGATCTTCGTCCAAATAATTTCTACGGACTTCCCACTCGCTCACATGAATACTATCGATACCTGATATCCATATGTGCGATTGCCGTATTTTTTCCTTGACTAGAAACTGAGAAAACGAAAATTTCCCTGATTTTCTCAAAGCAATGCTGAGCCGTTTTTGCATATGTAGTTCTATACTACAAGCCTAGGTAAGCATAACTGTAGATTTTCAGCCCATTCCAAGCGATAGTTTTCGAAAAATAACGAATTCGGATTTTTTCGTTTCAGTTTCAGTGCTAAAATCGACATTTCTTGAAAAGTACCGCTCGAAATAGGCTGAAAACCTACAGTTACGCTCACCTAGGCTTGCAGTATAGAACTGCATGTGCAAAAACGGCTCAGCATTGCTTTGAGAAAATCAGGGAAATTTTCGTTTTCTCAGTCTCTAGTCAAGGAAAATATACGGCAATCGCACATATGGATATCAGGTATCGATAGTATTGATGTGAGCGAGTGGGAGGTCCGTAGAAATTATTTGGACGAAGATCTGATTTTTTTCGATTTTTTGGGCACTTGGAAATCTTTAGATTTTGAGTTCGAACTCTCAGTGGATCGAGCATGGCGCAAAGACATGAGTGCCATCTTGTAGAGCTTGCTTTGCTCTATCGAACAATACCCCTTACCCTTTGTTGGGTTGAGACTGGTTGCTTTGTTAAAGCAAGCAAATAAAAACGCTCATTATTTTTGCACCAACCTAATACATATACGGATAGGCTTGCCGCTACTTAATTAGCGGAGTTCATGAAAGGTGTTGAACTGGCAGCAACGCTAATCTGTACCCAATCTGCACCGAAGACGAGTTGATTTTGCACACGGTAACTCCGTCATCATCCTACAGCTTATGAGACTGAAATTTCTTCGAAATTCGAAATCGAGGTTCAGTAGTAAATTCAGTCCAATTAAGGTAAAAACTTGTATTTAGGGGTATTCTATCACGCTGTTTCCGAATATGATAATCGTTTCGTTTGAAACCTAAAATTTTTTCTTTTTGGAATAACTTGCTTTCACAAATTTTCCAACAAAAGTTTCAGAAATTCTATTTGAGGGTTTTTTGTGATGCTGTTTCCGAATATGCTAATGACTTTGCTTCAAACTTTGGATATTTTTTCTTTCGAAATTTCAATTTGTTTCACATCTCTGTAAATTTGGCAAATCTGACAGCTAGGGATTTCCAACATACTGTTGCTGATGGTCTTGCTTGAAACCTTAAAATTTTTCTGTTTTTGAATTTCAAACTTTTTTCGGAAACTCACTGCAAATTTTTGATGAAACTGAAAAACAAACGGGAAAAATCTACAGAGGATTTGTGAAACCAATTAAAATTTGATAAAATATTCAAAGATTCAAGCAGTCATTAGCATATTCGGAAAACAGTATCACGTAGAATCTGTGAAATTTTTGTTGGAAAAGTTTGTGAAAACAAGTTTAAATCCAAAAAGAAAAAAGATTCTAGGTTTCAAACGAAACGATTATCATATTCGGAATCAGCGTGATAGAATACTTCTAATTCCAAGTCTTTACCCCAATTGGGCTGAATTTACTACTGAAATGTGAATTCAAATTTCAAAGAAATTTCGGTTTCATAGGCTGTAGGATGATGATGGAGTTACCATGTGCAAAATCAACTAGTCTTCGGTGCAACTGGGTACAAATTAGCGTTGCTGCAAGTTCATGACCTCTCATGAACTCCGCCAATTAAGTAGCGGCAAGCCTATCCGTGTATGTAAGTTCCCTCACGCTGAAAATTTAAGTTGAAGCCAGTTCTACAGGATAGCAGTGTGGATCGAGGGGGGAGGAGGGCGGGGCGCCCCCCCCCCTCCCCCGAAAATGAATCGCGAAATTTTTGAAACTCACTTATATAGGTTATAAAAATGTGCAAACGACTTGTTTATTTTTGTAAATAATTAAAATTTTTTAAAAAATTTTTTAAAATTCAAATTAACCTTATAAAAATTTTTTTCGGGGGCGTGGCTGACGTTACGCCTTTTTTCCAGATTTTATTTGTCGCCCCCCCCCCCCCCGATCCGAAATCCTGCGACCGCCACTGCAGGATAGTGATCGAAGGTCGGCAAACTGAGCGGTTTGACAAATTTTGCAGGCTTCAACCATAAGCGCAGAACTGTTTATGACATTTACTGCACTACATAATGGTGAAGTGAGAAGCTAGTATTGCTTGAGCTTGCTGAGCGTCGACCAAGATTAGTATTGGAGCGACTATATTAGCGTACGAGAACGACCTCCTGGTGCGCAAAACTTTGGAAGCGTTCTGGATCAACGCCAAGAATCCGAAGATGAATAAAGTGCATAGCCATCACCAATTGAACTAGCGCCATATCAATATCTTTGTGGGTTTGATATGAGGTCAGGTTACACGAGCACTATAAATTGGGGAGGAGGTATAGTCTGAGTATACGGTGGTCTGACAAATCATGACACGTTATCGAAGGTGAGTCTTGGTTACTCGATCTCCCTTTGCCTTTGTACTCTCTCCAATTGGACTTTCGTCTTGAGCTAGGATCTTGGCGTCTAGGAGAATGTTTCACTTATGTTTTCGACTTTCTAGGCTCGGACGAAGGCGATCCCGCCGAACGTTGGCCGTGAATAAAGTGTGGCTAATATCTTACTCGATGCTCAGCAAGCTCGAGCGAAATTGATGCCAAGATTAATAAACAGCCGAAGTTGGACAATATGAAAAGGTAGTGTGTTGTGGGCAATAACAGAAACTTTAGCACCATACCTTCGATAGTCTAGAGACAGGGCGCCAAAAGTGAAGGTTGTTTGAACATCTGACGCCCTAAATAGTGAAGGTTGTTTGAAAAAGATCAGAGAAGAGAAAATGACGTAGAACAGGTATAAAAAGCAAAAGAAACTGCTGTACCGCCGGATAAAAGCGCTGCAATAAATTTGAAGCCCTTCACTTGGCGGCTTTTCAGAGTGAAAGTTTTCGTTCCAGGACCAGCAATTCGCAACACGGGGTTTTGATTTTTGATGCGTCCTTTGAATTTTCACCCCCTCCTTGACGTTCCTGTTTCCTGGGACGTTGTCTGGATTGTTGCGCTTATCAGTCTGAGCAACAGTCGCCCAAGCTGGAAAAAAATCGCTGCGAAAGCACTGAAATAGAGCAAAGCAAAGAAAAACGCACTTTTCACGGTTTTTGCAGAAAATTTCACCACAATCGAAGAGATAGGGGCTGGGTGGTTGTCTGCATAATGAACAGAAGCAAGATCTATAGAATGCACGAAAAAACCGCATGAAATGAGTTGAACTGGAAAAAAAACAAGAGATTTTTGAAAACAAGGTTTTTGCCGGATTTCTTGTTCAAATTAAAAAATGTGGTTTTAGGACGTTGTCAGCGTAAAAATAGAGATCAAGAGCTTCAAAATAATATATAGCTTGTTAAAATTCGGTTCGAAACAGCGAAGAAAAGGGTACCAGAGCCAAATGCCCCGCGCCCCGCGTATGGGGTAGCGAGGTAGCGCGCAGCGCGCGGAGACGCAGACGAGCAGCGGAGACAGACCAGAGCCGACGGGGCATTTGGCTCTGGTAGTAGATCTCCGCGGGGTCTCAACGAAATCCTGCAACATTATATATCATTCTGATCGTCATAACACGACGAGGAGAACTGACAACGTCCCAAACTTTGAAAATCACTCATTAACGAGATAAACTGGCGTTTTCGTGCGCGACTCTCTGCGCAAATTTAAGCGCAGTTTCTCGTTTTTATTTAACTCCAACAGCTTTCCTAAACTTCTGAAACTCTATTCTGGTCAAATAAGAGGGTAACTGAGGAATTTTGTCCTGAATTCTGGCGAAAATTTCACAGAAACCTTCTTTTTAACGTGAAAAAGGCCATGAAAACGCAAATTCTAGGTTTCGTTAAGATAAGCTAAAGATATTACTCCCTATACTTGTTTCATTAACATTCGTTCCGATGTAGTCAGAATAATAACATCCGGGGCTTCGCCCCGAATGACTTCTGTTTTTTTTTTTCCAGGTGAAGGTTGTGTTCCCTCATAGCTCTCAAAGTGAAGGTTACCAGAGTACGTGGCTCTATGTATCGAGGGTATGTTTAGCACACAGTGAAGGTGGAATTTGACATTACGACGTTGTTCTGGGCATGGTATGTATGCGATCTTCTACGAGATAAGAAAGTAGTTTGCAGTTGAATTACCTCTTGCAAGTAATGGTGCAGTGTATATTGGTTGTGCCCTTCAGAAATTCTGACTTATGGACACTCCCCTAACGTTTACTTACCCGTCCACACAATGCGTTCCCGGGCCACTCCTTTTCTCTTATTTGGCCATTACAGCATTGATTGCAAATATTTCGGAGGGGGAGTTTTAACGTTTTGATATTTGACACTTCATTTCTTGAATATTCTAAAATACCTTGAACTGATGTTTCTAGATCTTTATTCTTTCAAAATCAGAGTCTGCTTCTATGATGTTTAGCTTGCTCAGCCTAATCACACAACACTAGCTGGATGGACACGGACAAGTGGTGTCCAGATGTGAGTTTTTTTTTTTCATTTTGACAGCCTAGAACACAATGTACCTTATAATATGGGGTTTTTGAAATCACACTTGAAGTTTTGCAGGTTTTCTTTTTTGTGGACGGGCACATTTATGCGAATCAACTTGGCAGCAAAAAGTTAGGGATTTTCTCTCATTTTCTCAGCATGAAGTTGACGGAATGTAATAATTTAGTTTCCATTTTTTTCGAAAAAGGCCATTTGTGAAAACGTAGATACATGTGAAATTTTTGATGTTCATTATCCCAAACTTGCAATTACAATGTAGAAATCATGACAAGTTTTTTCTCGGAAACTTGATGGCAGTGCAGGCAAATTCGGAATCTAAGTAATAAACATATATCATTTGGTCATGGTTACCGGGACTCCTTTCTGTTTTCGACAAAGATTGATATCTATACAGCACTTTTACTGCACTTGACTGCCAGACTTTGACGAAGGCGACGAATTTGGAACGTCGGAAAAAAACTTCAAAATTTGGCTGCCGCTTAAGCGATCCAGCCTGGTGTGCTCCATGCTAAGACTACTAAATACAATCTTGCTCGTGCTCTGAGAATGGACACCTATGTAAAAATCGCCGCTTTACAAGAAAAAAATACAATCAGAAAACCTGCCCTGTTTTTATTTGTACAAGCCGCGCCTGATCTTTTGAAGGCAAAGGCGCCGAAAATGGAACGCGCCAACTGCGGAAACTGTAGTGAGGCGCGATGACCGCTTGCGGAGCACACGCGCAGAGATGCGCCCATGTTTTAAAATGGGTGCCGTTTGTACACAAGAATCTGCATAGCTGTATCTGTTAGGCTTTAGTATGAGTTAGCGCTTACGAAGATTCATATCGCTTCAGCTTCCCATCGCTGAAATCGATGGCATCGATGCAAGGCATCTATTCGCTATGCGGTACAAAAAATTTCATTTTTTACAGTGTTATTAGATGTATTGGGCAGTTTCGGTTTGAAGTATCTAAACCAGAGCTCGATAGGAGTGACCTGTAAAAAGTTGTAGCAATGCGGAATTCCGCGCATTATTGCGTTTAAATAGCATTTTTTACAGTTTGGGTTGTGCTATAGTAGTTTTACCATGCTCGCTACCTTATTAGTTAGAGTCTTTTACTCATTTGTAGGATCAACCTTAATGCAAAGTCAAGTAACATTCTTCTGGCAGTGGTAAGCTAGCAACAGTCACGGTAATTTTTGCTGTTGGTTAGACTACACCTTTTTTGGCAGCTTCTTACTTTTAAATTTTTTGAGCGCTTTCACAATTACTCAAATTACAAGCGTTTGTACGCCTTTCACTTGAACTGTTTTCAGATGCTAATCCCCACAATAGCTATTCTTGCTATAATCTTTGTAATGGGCGGAGTTGGCAACATTTGCATTTGTCTGGTTATTATTAGAACCAAATCTTTGCACACACGCGCCAACTACTTCTTGTTTGGTCTTGCTTGCTCGGATATGCTCCTTCTTTTTTTGGGTAATACAATATTTGCTTATACGATGGACTATTGTTTCAAATGATTTGATGCTACTGTAGCCTGCCCACTGCAAATATATCTCTTTATCAACTGCTACACCAGTAATAACAACTTTGTGTGCAAGTTGTATAACTACGTAAAGGATGCATATGGTGTTACTTCAGTGTTCATCATATGTGCTTTCACAGCGGAGCGGAGGCTGGCTGTATGGTAAGCTAAGTGGTGAGGAAAATTCTCATAGGGTATGTCTTTTTACATTTTCAGTCATCTTTTACGAATGAATGAACTGAGGAATTTATTTTGTGCGTTCGCATCTGTTAGCACTGTCGCTCTGTTAATCGTCACTGGTTTGAGAATGGGTGCTGTATTGGGTGGAGAAATGAATTCTACTTTTTATGATTACGCTCGCTTCTCTGCAAACACGAGCACGTCTTCTCTCTCTGACAATTACCAATCAATTCTTGAGGTATCGCAAATTTCGCAACTTCAAGTTTGAACGCCTGATACAATGTAATCGTGGATTGTTTCACTTTACATTTCCAATAATGGGCGGCAATTTACTCACTGATTTGCAAAAATTTTATACCGGATAATAACTACCAGATGGAATCTCACTTACAAATTATAATCCCTCAACAGATTAGCGGTCAAGACATCAATGTCCGGAGCAGATGCAAAAGTTGTTTTGCATTATACATCCCTACTTAGTAGCCTGCGTAATCTGAATTTTTGACTCTGTGGGAGGATATGCTTAAATGATGTGCGGGGTGCAAAAAATCAAAGTCCCTAACAGCCTTTCAACTCAATGCAAAACATATTATTTTTTTTCATTTTGTGTAGAATAGTCAGTAAAGCTGTATGCTATCAGGATGGTGTTCAAAAGAGACATTATCTGAGAACATTCGAGAATGTTGATTCTTCTGAAACATGGGGAACACTGTTTGATAAGCTGAATAAGTTTTTCCTTCATAGTTGAGGGCGCAGATGCAGTGAAAAGCAGTACCAACAAAAGTTGAATTCTTTTAGCATGGTGATTTGAGACAGTGGTTAAAGGCAGCGTCCAGGCAAATCTGGACCTATGGGGCTTTCACGTGGAAAGTACTTTTGGGGCCCTAACTAAGGCACTGCCCAAGCGGCAGCTCAGGTAGTGCTCTAATGGCTGAGATATTCCCCTCGAAACTGGCCCCCGCGAACGTATTCGCATGGATTCATGGCAGTTTCGCGCCAGGATCCACGCTTTGCGCCATGAATCCATGCGAAACACGGTCGCGGGGTCCAGTTTCGAGAGGAATATCTCAGCCATTACAGCACTTCTTGAGCTGCCGCTTGGGCATTGCCTTAGTTAGGGCCTCAAAAGTACTTTCCACGTAAAAGCCCCATAGGTCCAGATCTGCCTGGACGCTGCCTTTAAAGAAAGGGGAACGGATTGTCCACCCATCTTTCTGGTGACAAGTGATTCCGTTTGTGGGGTATAATTGGGGGTAACGAGCTCGCTAAGACAATTTTAAGATGGGCCCTCGCCTCATTGTGGATTACTTTCGCATGAACCAAAGAATTAGAAATGTCGATATTCTTTAAGACAGATGAACTTATGCTGCAGAAGGTTTTTGATGACAAAAACAAAGCTACTCAAACTTTCCGATTCTCTTGGACGTTTATCGCCATAAGCTAATTAGACCTAGATACTTAGACAGCTTGACTCTATGTGATTATCACACTAAATATGTTATAGTTGACCAGGGCCCAGGGAGGTGGCATTTGAGGATTTTGAAAACGAATTCTTCCTTGGCATTGCAGAAGATTACGAAATACCTTTTGCGGTATTTGTAGAAGTAAGGCTAATAACCTCAGCGAACGATGAGTGAATGGAAGTTAAGAAAAGGCAAGGAGAATCGGGAATAGAACAGCAACACGTGAGAAAAAGGCGGATTTAAATGATTCAAGTGCCGTAACAAAGCAGAAGAGACTGAAATTTGGGACAGGTATTTATAGATAGAGTTTGTACTGAAGAACAGATTTATATAGAATAATTTCAGAAATTATGTAAAGAAGGGAAGAAATTATGACTTTGTTTGGTTAGGCGCAAACTCAGGGTGCGCGGGAGAAATCTAATTTGAAGAAACACTTGCAGCTCCATTCATTGACATAATTGTTTTCATAATTTTTATACCTTCCTTTTGATCGTCGCCGCGAAGGTACGCACCAAATTTCGTGGCTTATCACTGCTTAACGATTGTAAACGGATGGATTATGCATAAAGATTGTGTTTTGACAAAGACATGCGTGCACACGGGTCTAAGCACTTGTCGTGTTTGTAATGTGCTAATCGACCTGTTACTGATAAAACGACGTCGAAATTGAAACAAGGGCCTACCAAGCTTAGCTTTGTGCTTGCTGATATTTTATCAGATTTTCGGAAACCACCCTAGGAACATTACGAGTTCCCTTTTGCTATCCTCTCAAAAAAACGACATTCTGAAAGCGCCACCTCTGCTGAGCCCTGATAGTTGACTGCACGGAATCGCCCGGACTGGACGCCCGCGAGCGTGTCTCTTGCGCGCTAACATTGTCATTCGCGCGCATTAGTCATCATAGCGCCCGTAGTCGGCAGCCGCTAGTTAAAGTCGCCTGCACGAAATCGCCCGGGTTGCTGTAGGTGGATGCACGCTCGCGTGCGTCCACCCTACAGCCCCGGGCGATTTCGTGCAGGCGACTTTAACTGCATAAAGCATCCCGGCAGGGATGCTTTATGCAGTTAATCATCATGGCTCTGTTTTAGCTCGCAAAATACTGTTCTATACGAGATTGCAGCTGCGCGTTCAAATTTTTGCTCCAAAAAATTTCCATGACTTTCGTTCCAGAAGCAAGCAGCGTTTCATGCTCTATTAAACGGTACACATTTTATTTGGAGACGCCACTTCGACCAAGTATCCCTCCCTTGCTAGTGTCCATCTCCATCTGTTCTCTTTATGATGTGACTCACAAACACGTCTTATCTCTTAATTAGGGGTCTGATGAGATGTGGCTTGAGTCGCGTCATTCTTCAGAAAACTGCGCGCAAGCGCTCAGTGTGTTTTCTAGAGCTAACGACAGCAGTGTAAACGCAAGTCTCATCTGCGTAGCAGCTGTTTTGTCTTCAGGACAGGTTTCCAACGTTACCTGTACATGCTACGCAAATGACAGACTGTGCTAGCCTTTTAGCATTTAAAAGAAGACGTTGCAAAATAAGCTTTCAACATGAACCGAGTTTTCCTCCGATTCAATCTCAGTCTTTTTCATATATTTGAGTACATCCATCATGACTCTAACTCAATGATACTTCTTGAAGAAAACGGCGTCATCCGCGAAACGAAGACTTGAGAGGATTTTCCTGACAGCTCCTATGGCTCTCTGTTTCCACTCACTGACTTACTTCGTTACCCACTACTAGACCGCGATGGATAGCTTTGGCGAGCTTAGGGAGCCTCCAGACCGCGCCGGTTGTCGCTTTTGCAGCCGGTAGCTGCTTTCGCGCCGGTTGCCGCTATTGCAGCCAAAGCGCACTGTGTCAGATTTTGGCTTTGGAGCGTAGCGAGAGCCTATTGGCACTAAATGCTAGGCTTTTCGATTCCTTTGTCATCACTTTTTGTTTCCAAAGTTCTCTTCTTTGCTGTAGTAATTCATTGCAGATACGGTTCATTTGATCTGGATTCCGTTTTTTCGGTCGTCTACGATGCTGAATGATCCATTGTCGAGTAGAACTTTCAGTCTAAATCCCGCTGTAGTGCTATTGCAAGGCAAGGCCTTTTCGACGTCTTTCTCATTTTGAAATCGGTTTACTATGCTGGATAGTTGCGAATGTACTTTCTTTGTTTTTGAAGTACAGTCGAGTAGATTTAGCGGTAAATATAGTGTGCTTGCACAGAAGGTGAAATGCGGTGAAATTTGCGCGTAAACAAGTAGCCACGTCAGTACCGTGGGTATCTTACGCGCGCAATTGGCCGGAGTCACAGTCGAAACTATTTCTTCACACGCCAATTTTACCGCATTTTACCGTCTGTGCAAGCACACTATATTTACCGCTAAATCTACTCGACTGTATTTCATCATGCCATAGGAGCGATTTAGCTGCAGAACTCAAATTCTCTGTACTATTTTTGCTTTCGGTACTTCACTGCCCTGACTAACAATCCATTCCAAAGCGGAGTCATTTGGTGCATTCTCCTTCTCCATTCAAGGTATATATCGTTCACTACAGCATAGTAAAATAGCTAATCTTAAGTTGTTAAACGAAACTTAGATCAATCAGTGTACCTTCAAGCCTAGTAAAGTAGCTTTGAAATTAGAAAGTGCAAAAACAGCGTTTTGCGACGATATCGTCCACTCAGCATAGTATTAGGTTGTCCGGAAATTAATGCCCGTTTTGAATTTTAACTGCAGTAAGTCATGCACTTCTCACTCCTAAATAGGTTGCAAAGTACCATTCGATAGGGCAAAGCAAGCTCTACAAATTGGCCATCTTGCTTTTGCAACAGCTCTCATCCACCTCGAGTTTCGAGCCAAAAACTAAAAAGACTCAGCAGCCCGAAAAATCGAAGAAAATCGTAACTCATTTCATAAACATCTTACAGAAATTCTTACTTGCTTACGTAAACACTGTCCACATAAAACATCTATATACGCCTTTGCCGTATTTTTCCCTCTGTTAGAAATAAAGAAATCGGAAATTTTCGTGCATTTGCCAAAGTAGTGTTGTGTCGTTCCCACATAGGTAGTTGTATACTACAAACCTGTGGAAGTACAAACGTAAATTCTCAGTTCTCTACAAGCTTTAGTTGTCGAGAAATACCGAATATAGCTTTCCCTAATTAGCTGGCCCAAGCTAAAATTCAAATTTCTCGAGAACTAAAGCTTGTAGAGAGCTGGAAATTTGCGTTTGTACTTTTACAGGCTTGTGGTACACAATTACCTATGTAAATACGGCACAGCATCACTTTGACAAATGCACGAAAATTTTCGTTTTCTTGGTTTCTAACGGAAAGAAAAATACCGCAAAGGCGTATATAGATGTTTTATGTGGATAGTGTTTATGTGAGCAAGTAAGAATTTTTGTAAGATGTTTATGAAATAAGTTACGACTTTCTTCGATTTTTCGGGCTGCTGAGTCTTTTTAGTTTTTGGCTCGAAACTCGCGGTGGATGAGAGCTGTTGCAAAAGTAAGATGGCCATCTTGTATAGCTTGCTTTGCTCTATCGAATGATACTTTGCAACCTATTTAGAAGTGAGAAGTGCATGACTTACTGCAGTTGAAATTCAAAACGGGCATTAATTTCCGGACAACCTAATAGACCAACTTTAAATCGGAAAAGACCTTGAAAAACCTTGCCTGCACAACCACACAGCAGAGCAATATTATCAAAACGAAAGCTGTGCAAAAAAACAGAGTTCCGCAAAGATTTACGAGCTCCCAGATCTCTGCGGAGGCAA